CCGCAATCTCCAAATGTAACAATTCCTCCTTCATATTTCTCAAGAGATATGAAGTATGATTTGTCACTTGACATGTGACGAGAACACCCATTATCAAGATACCACATGTGTGAGTCACGTGCTTTTAGTGCAGTGTAAATAACAAAACAAGTTACGTCACTCTTTCTCACCCATATCTTTTTGGTCTTAACAGAAACGGGACTGGTAGTCTTGGTGACAGTCTTAGCGTTGTGAACATCATCATGAATCTTGGTATTTTGCCTAGATACGTAAGGTTATTAGAATTTCTTACTTTTTGAGACACCTTACCAAACAATTCATAACAATAAAGTCTAATGTGGCCATACCTACCACAATGATGACAAACAAAAACAAGTTTTACCCCTCTTTTGTTGATTTTACCCCCTTTAGGTTGATGGAGAGATTTATCATTCTGTTGAACTTTCAGCTTTCCCTTTGCTTGAGTCTTGATGTCATGTGATGTAGAGGCCTTTCCCTTTTAAGGTGTTGCATCACCATAGCCTATCTCACTTTTGTCATAACTTATTTTTTGAGATCCAATGATGTCTTCTAGTGTCTTTGACCCTTTATTCCACGTATCAATCATGGCTCTATCATCTTTGAGTTCTTCCTCTTTCTAACCAACTAGCTCTTCCAGTGCAACTTGTGTCATCTCAAGAGATTCCATCTTCTCTTCATATGTGGCATAGATTTTCAGAAGTTCATTCCTTTTGGTTTCATAGGTCAAGAGCTTTGCATAGAGATCTTGTCTATCACTTGAGATCTTGATGACATCCTTCCTTGCTGCTAAAATCTTTTCCTTTAACTTGACATTCTCACTCTCACATGCTTTGAGTTTGATAGTGAGTTTGTCATTCATCTTGGATAGGTTTAGAGATTCACTATATAGCTTTTCATAGGCTTGTTGAAGTTCATCACCATCACTCTCATCATTATCTTCCGAGATTTTATCATTTTCTTTTTGGTTTCCTTTTTCCTCAAGCGCATCCAGTCGAGCAACTAAAGCAGGAACATTGCTGGATGGTTGTGAAGATGACTCTCATTTTTCATGAAATTGCATATGAACATCCTATGCTTCTTTGGCATTCTTGCAGTGAGAAATCTGTTGTTGTTCTTCTTCAAAAATGGCTTCACGGATGGTGTTCAGAACTCTTTCATTATTTTCTATGTCAGCTCTTTCAAAAGCACTCAACTCTTCAATTGGCTTGTTAACCTTTTGGTTGGTGATCGGATTGATTACAATTGGTGCTTTAACATTCTCCTCAATTGTACGCCAACCCTCAGAATCAAAGGCTCTGAGATAGACTCGCATTCTACACTTCCAGTACAAGTAATCGCTCCCATCAAACGTAGGAGCACGATGCACACTAGGTCCACAAGAAAACTCAACCGACTTTCTAGTTGATTGAGTGACACAAGAGTATAATGCCATGTAGGTACTATCTCTGTCTTCGCCGGATTCGATTTCTTCAACTTCTTGCTTTGACCTGCTTTCATCATCCCAAGTCACTGTGCAGACTTTCTTTCGGTTCTTTTTCGACAAACATTCAAGTGCGATATGCCCAAACCCTTGGCATTCATAGCACTTGACACCTTGACCTCTCACATTCTTCTTTTCAACTTTCGGAGCATTTTTTGGTGGAAATTTTTTGGATTTTTCATTACGCTTATCTTTTGAACTAGAGTCCTTGAAATTAGGCTCCTTTTTCTTTAATTTTTTTTTAACTGTTTAGTAAACATAGCCATCATTTCAAACTCTAGATCAATTTCAACCTCAGGGTTTTGAGCAGTCTCATGAACACTAGTAAAAGCCACACTATGCTTTTGTTTTCTCTTAGAAATCTAGTGGGCTTCATAAGTCTGCAAGTTTTTAACCAACTGATCAAGCTTGAGGTTCCCAACATGCTGAGCCTCCTTTATAACTATCACTTTTGATTGGAATCTATTGGGTAAGGACCTCAAAATTTTTCTAACAACGTTAGATTAAGGAATTTTTCACCGAGTATGGAACAGGAATTCACGACGTCACTAAGTTTAGCATAAAAATCATCAAACGTCTCATCATCTCGCATAAAAAGGGTTTCAAATAAAAAGGTGAGACGCTGAAGTTTTGATCTTTTAACAATAGTAGTACCCTTATGAATTGTTTCAAGATTGTCCCAACCCTCTTTTGTTACTTCATGCGTACAAATACGACAAAACTCTTCTGCTGTGACGGAGCAAAAGAGAGAATTGAGCGGTTTACTATTCCAACTCGAGTTTTGATAATCAATTGCGTCCCATTTATCAAGCAGTTTAGGGATATCAACACCATCAATGGTGACACTAGGTTCACTCCACCTATAGATGACACAGTGCCAAACTTTCTCATCAATAGATTTTAAAAATGCCCTCATACAAGATTTCCAAAAGGAATAGTTTGTCCCATCAAGTAAAAGAGGTCTATAGGTCGAGTTACCTTCGCGAATTGAATCCATGACATGAATCACACAAAATCGCACTCCTATAGTTTTATTAAAAACAAAGAGTGACCTGCTCTGATACCAATTGAAAAACTACGTGATTCGTGATTCGTAAGAGATTTAATTGCAACAGTTCCCAAACAACCAAAAGTAACAATCTAAATCATCTAGCACGTACAAAAATGATTTAGATTGTTGTTTCATAAATAATAAATCGACACAAATGATTTTTACGTGGAAAAAATAATAATTGGAGCACCTTCAATTGTGATAAAAAAAAACTATGGGCAAAACGCTACTAATCAATCCACTATGAAGAAAGAAAGAACACAAATTTACCCAAACAATTTACCCAAATTCTGTAAAATTGTCTTCAACAATTCGTGTCTCTTTCACCAACGCCTTCGTCTCGGAATTGACCAACTTCATGTTGAATCCACAACATCCATGTCGAATCAACGATCACGAGCAGCTTTGAACTCCTTCAAAGACTCCATGCTCGAATCATCGAAATCCACCGAAGAAGAACACTCTTGTATTGAACAATCAAACAATCCTTTGGGCCCCGTTTGTTTTCAGAGGTAGAATGGAGGGGATTGATAGTGAGGGGATTAATAGTAAGGAGATTGTTAGTGAGGGGATTGATAGTGAGGGGATTAAGTAAAATTGTGTTTGTTTTGATGATAGTTGTTAGTGTAGGGATTGTTAAATTATTTTTATATATAATAAATATAAAATAATAAAACGAATAAAAAAAATACAAAAACATTAAATATTAATGTTTTAAAAAAAATGCCCAACATGTAAAAAAAATTTTAAAAATAAAAATAAAATAAAAAATTTTCAAAAAAAATAAAAAAAAATAAAATAATGATTTTTACTTAACAAAAAATACAAAAAAATTAAACATTAATGTTCAAAAAAAAATGCCCGATATATAAAAAATAAAATAAAAAAATATAAAAAATTTCTAGTTCGCTGGACTATTTTTCTAATACCAAGTCCTGGAGGCCCATCCGAATCCCCTTGGGGACGCCTATCCTAATCCGGACTCACTATCAATCCCCTCCCCATCTCTTAAAACAAACAGAATATTAGTGGGTCCCACCTCACTACCGATCTCAATCCCCTCTCTACCTCTCCAAACAAACGGGGCTTGATGTGTACTTGTCAAACCATGAGTTAAACTCAAACAAACATCAAAGAAAATAGCAAAAATGCTCCAGAAGAAAACCCTAATTTCCAAAAAAATGATCTGGAAGTCATGCTCTAAAATCTTACTGAAACTTAGCTTTATAGCAAACAGGGCCGCAATGGTCGCTCGATCACAAGAACTGTCGCTCAAGCGATGAGACCGATATGCGTGTATTGCCTTAAGTGTCTTTGCTCGAGCCACCAAAAGGTTTGCTCGAGCGCACAACAACCCTTCTCAGTATTTTTGCAGATAGTGAAAACTACTGGGACCAAAGTTTCTTCGTTTGAGCTAGACTTCCTTCACTCGAACGAGCAAGCCAAATTTCTAGGAAACTTCACAATTTGATATACTATGTTTGTTCACGAAATTGGCAACACTAAGGGACCTAACACCACCAATCCAAAATATCAAAATCATTATTATCATCTACTGGTGAGTTATCCAAATAACATTGTAATTCAGAACTACTTACGCTTGTGTGTTAAAATATTCTTCTACTTTTTATTGCTGAAAAAACACTTAATCTTCCACCTCGAGATGAGGCTGGTGTAGTGTGTATAGGTGTGTGCGTAGATAAAACTTCCCTATATTCTTTAAATAATTTTTTGCGTGTCCTCATAATAGGGGCAAGTTGTTCTTGATCAGCAAAAATACAATCCAAAAATTATTGTAAACCAATTTCTTTACTCTTAGGATTAATTACAATGGCTAAACCTAAAAGATAAGGCAATGGATTTATCAAAATTTTCTTTTATTGTAGTAATAATGATTATATAATATTCATTACCCATATATTTTGTGAAAACTTTCATTATTTTTGTTAACATATGTAAAACAAATGGGGAAATATAAATATATATATATATTGGAGTTGGAATGATAAATATGAGATGGAAAGGAAGACCGACAAAATGAAGATGACTGCATCAATCATCTTCAAAATCAAACCAACTTCATAAAGTTTGCCAGATTCATTTGCAGTTGACCAAAAACAAACAACAAAACAGGCATGATAGGTTACCAATAATATCAACCTAAAGCATAGCCAAAAATAAACTGGAAAGAAAGGCCTTAAACCTCTCTCTGTGAGCATTAAAGACGAGCACACCAATCTTGCAAAATTTGACCCCAGCCACTTAAGCCAAAGATGTATAATCAAAATATATAAACAAACTCCATACAACATAACAAATTAAATTCACACCGTCTTAATAACGTCAAGGAAAAAGAGACAACAATGGAGCAACGTAGATAGATAAAAGTAAAATGAAAAAGATTTAAGTTGATCCATGATACCTACACAGTACTAATATTGATGCTTGTTATTGCCTCGTGATCATATTGCTGCAATTGGGTGAAACAAGGCTTTCCACATAAGTTCCTACGACAAAATGATTTGGACAAGCTCGAACCACAAGTCTCTTAAATTTTTTCTTTTTTGGGTTGTAGAAAATTAACTTTTTTTGACAAATCCCCAACAAAAATTCACCAGTCTTTGATAAACACAACGCTTTGCACAAAGGAAAACAACCATGATTGATTGTAAATTTGGTCCAAGAATCCCTCACACCATACTCTTTCATCACCCAAACATCTTTACAACCGCCGCGGCGAGAAACAATCATACAAAGGCACCCTCCAAGAACACTGAGCTCTCCAAATAAAACAAAGTCATCAACAGGAGATGGCACATCTCCAAAATTTTCATATGTTAAATCAAGTGAAGCAATTACGGTCGAATTATTTGAACCCACAAAACTACTAGCAAACCAATGAAGAGCCCCATTAACAAAAATCCCCGACGAAGGCCCATAAGGTGTATGAATATAGGGAGAGTCCTCAATTCTTCTCCATGAACTAGTTCTTAAGCTATACACACTGACTATATTATCATCAAAATCACAACCATAGCCATAATGAGCAATACTCACAACTTTGTGGTCATCACTGGATGAGTCATAACCAAGCCCATAACTATCTAAACACAAACATTTATCAACAGAGTTCATTGAAAAAGGTGAAATTGGCAATTTTTTGGATTGTCTAGTAGATGGGTTAACCAAAAAGAAAGAGAAATAGTCATTGAGCATCAATAACAACCCATTGCAGGAACCCCAAATCTCCTTACAAAGATTTGGGTTTTGCTTGGAAGGGAATTTAAGGTGGAAAGCCTCGAAATTGTTTTGGAATTGGAAAGATTTGAAATTGATGGAGTGGAAATTGGAAGAACTAGAAAGGAGGATGAGTCGATCGTGATGGTGATTGTCGTCTGTGTTGCGATTGAGTTGGGTTTTGATGAAAAAAGGGTCGGAGATGAGAGCGAGCCACGGCTTTGAAACGCACTTGAATCGGCAAAGAGTGGTGACGGAGAGTCGAGAGAGTATGTTCACGATGATCTTGTTTGGAAGGTTCACCATTGATTTGCTTTGCTTGTTTTGTTTTGTTTTTTTTTTTTTTTAACACGGGCCAGCGACCTTTTTATTGGCTTGTATGGTTTTTATATGCATTTAAATAAGGTCTAACCAGCATCCATCAGTAAATGTACGAAATTATTATCTAAAAAACCCTTCTAAACCTTTTTCCTTTTTTCATTAAATTAAATTTGCACCGCCCTCAATTAATTTACTTTATTATATCTTTATACTACAGGGCTAAGTTCGCTGTACTATGGCAATAAAGTTACGTATCTCTCAATCTCTATATACCTCCCCACAGCGTAAATTCTTGAACACAATTATCCGTGAATGTCATGGAAAGTATAAGCAATCTAGGAGTGCAAGGTGAGGTATCGTCATTTCAATAGTTCAATCTCAAACAGAGTCTAACTTCCACTGAACTCACAAATTGCTATCTTCTCTTCAGTAGGGTCAAATAAATATATAGTTAATTAAATATGTATAAAATTAACGGGTGTCTTCTTTTAATATATAGTGTTTGGTATTCTATAACAAAATATCTCAATAAGAGAACACCATTAAAAATTATATCTGTGGTTCACAATAAGCATAATAAACTAAATCTTTTACAGCTTCAATGACTAAACATTCCTCTCAAATGTGACAATTCTCATGAAAATTGTAGAGAATCGGATTTCTCTTCTTGTTCACTTTTTTTTTTCTTTCTTTGTGTGGACAAAATCTTATTTAATCTGAAAATGACTCGTGGTACTAGTCCGAACTCTCTTTCGCGCCCCCTTTATGGCCGGAAGCTTGGAGGTACAAGCCTTACAGTTTGGACTCCCCTTGATTCTCTGCACAGTGGCAAGATAGAGCGGTTGCTAATTTCATAAATAATCTCCGGAGGCAAGTGGCAATTGTTGAATCCATTGATATAAACACCCCAAGGCAGTACCTATATCGCGGCAAATTCGTTTTTAGTTGCGCACAAATTATCGGTTCGAGATTTTGAATCAAAAAACGCCAAAAACTAGGACCTGGCTTTTTCAGCACTACATCCCGGAACAAGTTGCCCACCCCTATAATAACATAGTTATTTTGAAAAATTTAGGACACCCATGACTCCTCGCCACAGTGGCGCACGCTGTCGCGTCATCAGACCGGCAAGATTGTCTATACGCTACTCGCGTATAGATGAGAGAGCTAGGTACGTGTTGAGAGGTGGCGGAAGTAGTTCATGAATAACTATTTGAGCGCCACCCGTTGCCTGATCAAAGATCGGGCCTCGTACTAATCATGATATGATTTTTGTCAACATTATATGGTCTTGTTCCGGTTATTTAGGCGACATTACTCATGTGATACACACACAAGTACTAAGTAACTCGGCGAGAATTGGTACATTTGTATAATTTGTTTGATATTTTCATAAATTGTTTCTCGCACAGCGCATAGTTACTTAAAACGCGTAGTCTGGAAAAAACAGTCGAGTTTAGCTATGTATATATACAACATACACCTTCAAAATTTAATTCGGCACTCAATCAACCTAAATACCTGAGCACCTTCATCCCAAGGCATACAGCAGTTTATCACTTAGGCACATTAGCCTCGCGATGTGTAGCAGAGACATTAGCTAGATCATAGACAAACATTCACTCACGAGGGTTTTACATTACCCGTATATGTGGCAATTATGCCTAAATAGCCAAAGATATAAGTCTTAACACTGAGTCACTGCATCCTAAGATCGGTCCAAAATAATCTAAACCAGAGTAGAAACGCATGAACCTCTTAACTAATGCAATTATGACTAATCGCAGAACACACCAAATGCTCGTAATGCATGCAGATGCAGGGCTTTTCCCTGCAACTAGGCTCAGGTGTGCTAATGAACGCATGATGAGTAATTGATGATATCAAAAATTAGAAATCGAAGCAGTGCGGTTCTATAGACTGTTTCCAAATTCAAAAGTAAGCTCCACTCCAATTTCTTGCGCGAACAATAAATAACAATGTAGTTAGAATGATGAACCGTATGCACTTGGGTGGGCTATGCAATAGAATGATACTGACAATGGATGCATAACATGAGGAGAGGACACATCAACAAAACATGATCGCTCCCTTAAATCTATAGCCATCGCATAAGTAGATAAATAAAAAGGACAAAAGACGTGGGGTTGGAAGACAAACACAATATTGCATCATTCTCTGACTCGCTTCCGCCAATCAAGCAAGACGAAGTGCGAACAAATGATGTCCGAAGAGTGCAGACCTATAAATTAAGCTAACTTGATTTCAAAATCATAGTATATATGATGCACCATAGGAGTATCTAACTTTAAATGCTACAGCTACATTAAAACTCTATACTCTCTAATTTTAGCCTAATCAACTTGCAATTCAACTTAACTATTCTAATGTTAACTAAACTAGTTTAAGCATAAAATCGGGAATTTGAATATAGCTAATTTATCCTGTAAACCAATAACGTAGTTACAAAAACACACAATCTTTGGCAAATTAAGTTAACGTCGTACAATTCATCTCAATTAACTTTGACAATAAAAGGCTAATTTACAAACTATGAAAGTTATAGCAGACTATCTGGACACGGAACAGATATATAATTTGATTAATTCGATAAATGAGTGTAACAGTGAAGATGGATGTAAGGTTGCAATGGGCACACGGGGATTTCGGTGCCATTTCTTGTTGCATTACGGTTCGATACCAGTTGCTGAGACTATTTTGTCTACCTTTAGGCAAACTTTGTTTCAGCCTTATACCTACGAGTCCACCCTGAAATAAAATACGCGATTCTCCCTATGCAATAGTGGGCAAGATATGTAATACGGGTTTTACATACCATTTCTCTTGCGGCTCATGTTTTTTTCTGTCAAACTGCAACTGAGCTGGGGCTACCGAACACCACTGAAAGGCCAGCTGTGGCATCACTGATGCCGGTCGAACCCCCTAATGCGGGTATTGCACAGATGGCCGGCCGTGCAATCAATTCTCTTACGTGTAAAGTTCTGTTCTTTGCTCGCTTCTGAAGTGAACCAGTGACACGACAAGAGTGGTGTTGCTCAAGCAGCGATCTAGTGTTTCCAATATACGGGGTTTCCGTACATTTCTTGCGATTACGGTTCTTCGCACCAACTCTTCTCTTAACACCCTCCTCCCTATAACGGATTTCTTCTCCTGAAATGATGCAGATATGTAATCAATTACGGGGTTTTACAATACGCGGAAGCATCTTCTCTGATGAGGAGACGCCAAAGCGTTGAATACGATTGGATTCAAAAGCCATCAATGTGAAAATGATTGCTTGATGGTCTCGGTTCGACACTCGAACACCGTTTAGGCGGATCGGATTTTAATTTTGGACAAAAATTTCTCCGACATTTGCATGAAAGATTGTGGCGAAAGAGGATGAGTATGACTAAACCACGGGGTATTCCGTAGCGGCATTTCTTTTGCGCCATTACGGTTTCGACACACCCTCGTAACACCCCTCTGTCATAGTAATGTCTATAAACTGTTCGGGGAAAGAGGGTGGTTTGCAATTCTCGTCTACGCGACATTCCAGATAGGAATGCAGATATCAAATATATGGTCCATGGATAAATAGAGCATCGTGGAGGGTTTGACTTCTTGATCACATATGGAATCTCTGGTGTAGGCATAACCTTTATCTTTGCGCGCATACGTCTACCAAGTTGAAGGCATATTTCTAGGATTAGTGGAACCAATCTATTCTTGTTGTGTGTTGATCCAATCGAACAACAGTTTTCTAATGCACAATTATCGGATTTTCACTGTGCATGAACTGGCCCTTAGACCAGATTGTCAGCGAGTTTATTAGGGTTTCACAGATTACTTTTCTCGGAAGGTTAGTGATGTCATTCCCATACAAGTTCCTCTCTAACAACTGATTGTGACATGTTACAATTACGGAGCTCTTTTAAATCATGAGTAGAAAACAGACGGTCTATACCTATTCGTAACGGCAATGAATACCTTTGCGATGAAAACGATTAAAGACCCCATTATTGGAAGGGTAATTGGCTCCTGCACAGATCGGTTTGGCTTGGGCAGAACATATAGTGTCTTAATATAACGGGGTTTCGTAACTAAAGCAACCAATCTTTTCATCTGGTTTGTAAATCGCGAGACAATTTCTTTCACGGAAGTAATGTCGAAAGAGATGGAATACGTACGGATTGGTTGTATGCATGTTGCAGACTGTTAAACAACCATCCGGAAAATAAGTAACTAAGAATATGCTGTAGAGGTTACTCACCATTGCATAGCACAACGCATTATGAGTATGCGCTAACCAGATTATATGAGAACAGATTAAAAGTGACGGGGTAAGTACTATATAGCACACAATAAGAAATTTGGATCAATTTAAAGGCTTCGACTACCTAACTAATCAGCCGTTCGCAACTATCATGAAAAACTAGAGTGGCAAATATTTTAATGAAAATCGTATACACAAGTGCGCTAACACCTAGAAAAGTCGCTAGCAATCATATCCTGTTAAGACAAGAATGAGACGGATCTTGGTAAGTGCAACAGAATATATGACATAAAATAGAAGGACGGGGTAGCCGGTAACCCTTTCCTCGTACATTTCCATTCTGCACCACACATTTTTGAATACCACGGTCTCTCCCGAAAACACGTCGTAGATTACTATCTTTATGCGAGTTCCCCCTTTGCCAGCAGTGGCAGATATGTAAATACGGGGTTTCGCGTAGCACTTTAAACTTTAAAAATGCAAGTGTTAGATATCGAAGAAGGAGTGTAAAGCAAGGTTAGAGCTTATATAGTAAAATTGATTATAGAAATGGCGAGTGTGCCACATATCTCACGTTGGTCTCACTAATCTCTTGTTGGTAGATCATTCGATCAAAGTCAAACATACTTAAACACCACTTAGAAAAGTATATCCAATATACCAGCAGACAGAACATTAACATAGTCCAGA